AAAGGAACACTATAGTGCCCTCATCAATGTATTTTATTATCCCCCCAAATAGCAGGGTAGGGTGTTTTATTATTGATTAATTAACCATAAATAAGTTAAATTAACCTGTTACTCAGCTGGAATACAGCTCTTCTGAGCAGCGTGGTCCATCTCTATGATGCAATCAGTCTTGATGACATTTAGTCCAATCAAACGCTTCTCATAGCAAAGCATTGCATCTGGTGCCTCTCTGTGAAAAGCATTGATTGAAGAATGGAGTTTGAGTACATGACAGAGCACCGTCTGGTAAATAATCCTGCAAAAAAAATACAACCCTATTAAACAACAGCCCAAGTATTCTGGAACACACAGGACCTTATGTAACAAAGCAATAACAGAGTGATTTTCAGAAAACGCACTAAAAGTGGAGCAATCAGCGATGACGCTCCAGTGATTGCTATAGCAATTGCTCCAGTCTTGCCGCCAGCAGAGGTCAGTGCAGAGCTCTGCAAATCTTACCGGCACATGCAGTGTTAGGCAGCGAACATTCCATCAGAATTCCCGTTCTCGTTGCGTATTACATTGTAATCCACTTTGTGTTTCCACTTAATCCGCTTTATCCCTTATGCTAATGGGATTGCGGTCCAGTAAATGGTGCTTGCTTGCTATGCACGGCGTCCTCTTATTAGGTAAACATAATATTTTTAAAGGCCACTCGGTGAATCTTAAATACATTCTGGGTTTCCTGCACCATCTCCTGCTTTTTTATCTAATTTTATAAATATACTTTTTATTATTTTACATAATGAATTCTGAAACAAATATATATCTAATCTCTCATCTAGAACTGTATTCATTAAACAATGAATTATAACAAAAGCCAAACTATCCTACCTTTAAAGTACATTTCAAGTTACCTTTCTTCTCCACGGAGATGTCTTGCTTCTATTAAATTAATGTTAAGTAGTAATTATTTAAAGTGCCAGTGTCACTATAGATACTATGTTCACATAAACATGTTGCGATCTTTATGAAAAACTCAGTCGTTAGAATTCTTCTCATTGACATAAAAAAGTCTGTACCCCTTCAATCGTGATGTAAGCATGGTGATTATTTATGGACCTTGTGCCCCTGTCTAACCCCTAGTTGCCTGTTGGTTAATCTGGCTATGGTTAGATGAGGAGAAAACCAAATTGGAGATGGACATGGCAATGAAAAGGAAGGAATACGATAATCTGAATTCCCCTGTATTACATTCTTGCACCTCAGTCCCGTTTCTCATATATTGGGCATTTCTTTATTGTATTCAGTATGGACCATTTTTTAAATAGTGTATTATGGACAATCAAAGAAATCATTGATTATTTATAATATGACATGATTTTAAAACAGAATAGCTTGGTTATTTTTCTCTATTAGTGAATATATCTCATTGTCTAGATCTATCATTTTAATCTGTCCCATGTTTCTGTATGGCCGCCACTTCAAGTCCACTTATCCTCTCTTTCCCCTCCAATCACTGTACACATCCTCTCATTTCCTCTTCATTATAGTTATTATGGGATGCGTCCATCATATGTTGGGAAACACTCTTCACCTTATCTTCACCAATCTCTGTACCACCTCTAATCTCTCACATGTTCCATTTCCTCTACCTGACCACCATCTGCTCTCCTTTGACATTGGCATGCCCCATGCCCATATCACAGTACATCAGTCTCGTAGAAAGTTCAACTATCTTGACCTACAGCAATTCTCCACCAAACTCCAAACTGTCCTTTTACCCATCTCAAACATCACCTGCCCTAGCTCTGCTACCTCCCTTTACAACGCCACCCTCTCCTCTAAACTAGACGTCATGGCACCTTCTACATTTAAACATTGCATGTGACCTCAGCTACAACTCTGGCAAACTAAACTGACCCATTGCCTCCAAAAATGTTCCAGAACTGCTGAACACTGGATAAAGTCTCATTCTGTGTCTTACTACCTCCACTAAAAATGTATGCTACATACCAACAGTTTGGCTCTTTTCTCTTTAAAAAACAACTACTTCAATACGCTAATAACCACGCCAAAACACCTATTTTACACTGTTAACTCGTCTTGTTGCTACTCCTCCTCCTAATAACTTGACCAACACTAACTTCACAACACACTTTATTGAGAAGATTTCCATGATCAGAAAATAAATCTTTAGTCTCTGTCCTACTCTGTCCTATATTTCTCCCAACTCCGCACTTCCTGTTTTATACTCACTTGTACCCACTGCACCAGCAGAGGCTTCGATCCTCCAGCCCCACCACTTGCTCCCTCGAACTTATACCCTCACATCTCACTTGCACACTGTCTCCTTCTGTGGCTCTGCCACTCACTAAAATATTAAATCTTTCCCTCTACCTCGGTCTACAAGACTTTGCACTTTCCCAACCTCTCCTTCACCTTTCAAGTCCAATCAATCGCCAAATCCTTCCGCTTCCATCTCAAAAACATAGTGAACATCCGCCCCTATTTAATGCCTGATACGTGCCACTGTCCTCTCTCGCCTTGACTACTGTAATCCGCTTCTCAGTGGTCTTACGTGTTCCCAGCTTCACCCAGCTTCACCCAATGCAGTCTTTAATGAATGCGGCGGTGAGGCTCATCTTCCTGTCCGCCCACACCTCCCAGTCCTAACCCCTCTGTCAGTACCTGGATTGGCTTCCCGTAAGATATAGGGCTCAATTTAAAATTCTGGTTCTTGCTTCCAAATCTCTACATAATGCTGCTCCTACCTACCTATCCTCCCTAATACACAAGTATGTCCCGTCTAGGCCCCTATGCTCTGCTGAAGAACTGTGTCTATCCTCTGTTTGTACTCCCACCTCTGACGCCCACCTTCAAGACTTCTATAGGGCTGTGCCGTTCCTGTGGAACTCTCTTCCCTTCTCCGTTAGACGCTCACCCACTCTTCAATCCTTCAAAAAATCAATGAATATTTGCTTCTTTAGGAAAGCGTATCAACTAAACTGTTAACAGCTTTCCCTTCCCACACCTTGGTAACCCACCCTGCTTCCTCTCCTGCAACAGTGTCATCCTATAAACTAACCCTTTATTGTAACCTCCTTTTTCCCATACATGAAATACATCCTACCCCCTTACCTCTTGTGTCACTATACCAAACTCCCTCTAGAATGTAAGATGGTTTGAGCAGGGCCCTCAGCCCCTCTGTTCCTGTGAGTCCAACTCGCACAACTTATTATAAATACTTTTCTGATAGTCCACCTTTTGTACGGCATTATAAATAATTATTTTTATTTGCTTAGAAAAAGTCCAATACACAAGCGGCAAACAATTTAACCAGTTTAATGTACGTTACCCAATAGCTATCATCTGATCAGGAATACATTTTCACTGAATAACAAAGGAATCGGTAAGAATTCCCTCGATCACGGCACTAAAGTTGTTTGTTTTTTATTACAATAAGGGAATCAATATAAACCTCAAGTTTCCTATCAATAATTTTTCCCTCTTTAGACAATGAAAAGTCTTCCCGGATAACAAAACTGAATCTATTGTTTAAGTACTTAATGTGTCAATATATTCTATTTAAAGAAGCTTTCCTTCTGAGAATTCCCACCGCCCCCAGAGGAAAACGCTTGGTTATTGCTGAATCGGTCCTTGAAAAAGGTTGTGATTAGGTCTAGGCAAACTGATTCAGTAGGGATTCGGATAGGTGGAACTTGCAATCTGTTCTGAGAGTGTTGCAATTTTTGATTAAATATGTAGCGTGAAAGTTACTATTTAGCATATAATACTAAATTAGTTATGTGTGGGTCTGCATACATACATGGACAGGTCCATAGGCATGCGCATGGGGGGTGCCTGGGCATACCCTAATCCCCGCAGCCCGCGCTATGTGCCTCCATGTGCCCACAAGCTGGGAGGGAGGCAGGAGAGGACCCAGGGAGCTCTAGCCAACAGCTCCGCCGGGTTTATCTCGCGAGGTCGGAGCGTTGCCATGGTCAGATTTCGTGAGAGTGAACTCTACTCACCACTGGACCACCAGGGATGGCAACAGCACGGTTCCCCCTCCCTACAAAAGGTAAGAAGGGAGGGGGACTATTAACTAAATGGTCCCCCAACCTCCACACAATACATACAAAAAGCACCCACATACACACAGCACCAACACACATACAGCACCCATACACACACAGCACCCTTACACATACACACACTAACAGCACACTCACACACACAGCACTCTTACAAACACAGCACCCTTACACAAACACACACACACACTAACATCACCCTCACACACACACAGCACCCTTACACACACACACACACACACAGCACCATCCCACACACAGCACCCTCACAGTGCCCTCACACACACAGCACCCTTACACACACACTAGCAGCACCCTCACACAGCAACCTTACACACACACACCAACCTCACAAACACACACACACACTCTGCACCCTCACACACACAACACCCTCACACTCACACAGCAAAAAAAAAATACATGGACAGGTCGGGGGGAGGGATGGGTTATTCATTAAAACGTAGGTTGCCTTGCATTGAAAGCTAATCTACACAATTTAGGTTAAAATTACCCTTATAAAAAAAAACTAACTGTCTCTACCAATATTCCGATGGGTCACCTTAGTCTGTAATGCCAGTTTACATTCTGAGCCTCTGTCTGTGAAAGAGAGAAGCGTTATTTAAAGATCTGAGTGCTGAACATTGATTATTTTAATAAGTATTAATGGACCAACATGTCCGTCAAGCAAGATATTGCGTTCTGCACAAAGTTTCGCAGCACCAGACTCTCTGTCTTCTGATCTGTCGATAGCTGTGTTCTGGGAAGCGTCCCGTTATTGGTGGATGTGCGCTTGTGCTACTGGTCGTTTGTTCCTAAGCCCTAATTAATTGAGAGCTAATTAGTTATGGATTTCTCACCCAGTATTAATGAGTCCCAGACGGATTTTGCTGCGGTTTTATCACAAGTTATTTTTGTCCTTACGTGGCTTAGCAGCAGATAGCGTTCACCGGGTATCACCTTATCTGTGCTGTCACATGACTGCGCAGAAGTAATTAATTTTCTTGACTTGGATGTTGTTTCAGGAGAGCATTGTATCTGTAACGTTCTAAGAAGGAAAAAATACAATACAGGAGAGTATTAAGTTTCATTACTCCCAGGGGCAGATCTTGTTTTAAAGGGACATGCACAAAAAAATAAATGAGAAAATAATAAAATTAAATATGTCTTGTTGGCTTTTTTTTTTATAAGCACGCCCAAGGCCAGATTAACATCGAATCTTATGAAACCAAGACCGTACATAAGGCGACGCTCTCAAAAGTAGATTAAAGGGGAAGTGGCCTCAAAGTGGGAGAAGAGTAATCAAGAGAGATAAGCATGACATGACAGAGCTGCTTTAAAGGTAACTCCAACCACCATCACCATTTCAGTGATTTGAAGTGGTGATGGTGGTAGGAGTCAGTATGTTCAGTGTTTCAATACTGTTAGAAAATTTCCACATTATTTACCTACAAAAATTCCCACAGATGTTTTAAGATGACTTCTGTAGATAAATGATCTGTAAACCTTTCTAACAGCATTAATTCATTCGGAAAGCTTATTCAGTCTCGACCGTTACTGTTACACATTCCTCGCTTTTCCAGTGTGGGGATTTACTGAAATCACCTCTTAGAAGATACATTCTCTGCATCCAGGCCCTGGGGAGATAGCGCAGCTAAGCGGACAAGGGCACCTGTATGAGTGTGGGGATAGATGTGGGTGGGATTATGTTCTATATGAGTTAGTGGAGGGTGGTCTTACCTCAGTGCCACTTGGGATTCAGGCCAGCAAACAGCTTCCCTACCGCCCGCCCCATTGGTATATATTTAGTCGCAGCTAGCCGGGGGTATGTCCTTGCCAATTAAGTTTGAGGCGGTTAGGTTAATTATGTGGAATGAAGTGAACAAGTTTCAGGTCTCAACCTCCCCTGCTCTAAAGGTTAGGTTACCTGGGGTGTCGTGCCCACCGAGCGAGGAAAAGGTCGGCTGGTGGTAAGCATTGGAAGCAAAAGGAGTTTATGCCGAGGGGGGAGGTGAGAAGAAGGGGTACATAGGCGCATGGTCAGTGTATTGGCAAGGATGGTTGGGTTACACTGTATGTATGTACGTAGTGGGCATTGGATAGCATTCCCTCCATCCCCCATAAAACCATACCTTACCCCTTCAAATAACGACAGACAACTTCTTGGAGAAAACAGGCCACAGCATTTATTAACACAACCAAATACTGTATGACTCCTTTAACATAACGAAATAATAAATATCATAAATTAACATAAACAATTTGCATATAGTCATACAGTAACCAAAGAAACCGTCCTTGCCAATCTAACTTCCCCAAGGCTCTCACCTCCGCCCCTCGGCATAATAAAAACATCTTCCTTTTCAGGGCTCCCCACCAACTCGGTGGGGCCCAACCATAATGCTCCCCACTGGTCGACTTACAACCCAGTGGGGACACGTCCAACCTGGTACCTTCTCCAGGTTCACCATAAGAGACAGGGGGAGGATGTTATTAAATTACCATAGAGCGTACCATAAATCCAAAAACTGAAAGTCTAAAACCCCAGGTCCTCAAAATATTTTACCATATATTTTTTTTTTTTACCAAATAAATTTGGTAAAATATTTTGAGGACCTGGGGTTTTAGACTTTCAGTTTTTGGATTTATGGTACACTCTAATATTGAGACATTTATATATTGTCACCACTTATTGGGTACACTTAAGATATTTTTTGGAGCATTACCATACATACCCCATTTAAGCAATTTTGAGGTATGAATTAAACATCTTTAGGTTCTCATGTCCTTTGTCTCTCACCTTACATTCAAAGTCCTGATAGAATGTCTCTCAAATGACAACTTCTTTGACTATTATAGTTTGACTGTACCAGTTTATTAATTTTTCATTACAACTGAATACCAGTGACTTAGGCCCCAGGGAGAGTGCGCAGCTTAGCGGACAGGGGCACATGTATGAGTGTGAGATGGATGATGCATGATTGGCTGTATTCTACATGTATGAGTGTGGGATGGATGATGCATGATTGGCTGTATTCTACATGTATGAGTGTGAGATGGATGATGCATGATTGGCTGTATTCTACATGTATGAGTGTGGGATGGATGATGCATGATTGGCTATATTCTACATGTATGAGTGTGGGATGGATGATGCATGATTGGCTATATGCTACATGTATGAGTGTGGGATGGATGATGCATGATTGGCTGTATTCTACATGTATGAGTGTGGGATGGATGATGCATGATTGGCTATATTCTACATGTATGAGTGTGGGATGGATGGTGCATGATTGGCTGTATTCTACATGTATGAGAGTGGGATGGATGGTGCATGATTGGCTATATTCTACATGTATGAGTGTGGGATGGATGATGCATGATTGGCTAAATGCTACATGTATGAGTGTGGGATGGATGATGCATGATTGGCTGTATTCTACATGTATGAGTGTAGGATGGATGGATGATGCATGATTGGCTATATGCTACATGTATGAGTGTGGGATGGATGATGCATGATTGGCTATATTCTACATGTATGAGTGTGGGATGGATGGTGCATGATTGGCTATATTCTACATGTATGAGTGTAGGATGGATGGATGATGCATGATTGGCTATATGCTACATGTATGAGTGTGGGATGGATGATGCATGATTGGCTATATTCTACATGTATGAGTGTGGGATGGATGGTGCATGATTGGCTGTATTCTACATGTATGAGAGTGGGATGGATGGTGCATGATTGGCTATATTCTACATGTATGAGTGTGGGATGGATGATGCATGATTGGCTATATTCTACATGTATGAGTGTGGGATGGATGGTGCATGATTGGCTATATGCTACATGTATGAGTGTGGGATGGATGATGCATGATTGGCTATATTCTACATGTATGAGTGTGGGATGGATGGTGCATGATTGGCTATATGCTACATGTATGAGTGTGGGATGGATGATGCATGATTGGCTATATTCTACATGTATGAGTGTGGGATGGATGGTGCATGATTGGCTATATTCTGCATGTATGAGTGTGGGATGGATGATGCATGATTAGCTATATGCTACATGTATGAGTGTGGGATGGATGGTGCATGGTTGGCTGTATTCTACATGTATGAGTGTGGGATGGATGATGCATGATTGGCTATATTCTGCATGTATGAGTGTGGGATGGATGATGCATGATTGGCTATATGCTACATGTATGAGTGTGGGATGGATGGTGCATGGTTGGCTGTATTCTACATGTATGAGTGTGGGATGGATGATGCATGATTGGCTATATGCTACATGTATGAGTGTGGGATGGATGATGCATGATTGGCTAGATGCTACATGTGGGAGTGTGAGGAAGTGGGTGGTGACAGATCAGACTGACCTCAGTGCCACTTAGGAGCCGGGCCAGCAACAAGTTTCCTGTGATCCTCCTGATGCTAGGCTTGCTGGATTTTCTGCCTGGGGGCCCTGGATGCTGGATCCTGGTTTTACAGCCAGCCTGTCTGCCCTCAGGGCTGGTTATGGTGCTGCAGCAGACGGTGGCCTCCTCCTTCCCCAGCAGCCTGGAGGTGAGGTTCCCCTCCCCAGCGGTCTGGCTCTCCCTGGGCACCCTGCCTGTGTCTCCCTCCCTGGACACCCTGCCTCGGGCTCTGTGAGCCCCAACTCCCCTCCTTGGGCCTGGTACAGGATCTGCAGCACTGGGCCGCGCACCTGGACCACGTGGCGTGCGGCATGCTCCTCGCCCGGTCCTTCCGCTGCCCCAGGTGTCCGGGCGGCGGCATCTGCTGTGGACCGTGCCCCCCCTGGAGGTAGTGGGGGGGCCGGAAGCTCGGCAATCGGCCTGGGCGGCGTGTGGGATGCCGTCCAGGGTCCTCCCCTCTCGGCTGGCAGTGGTAAGTGGGCCCACTGCGGGGCACGTGGGGTGACTCTCGGTCACTGCCGCCAGGTGGGGAGGGGTTCTGTATCTCCCTCATGGGCTCTGGGGGTGTCTGCTTGTCCCGGCCCTCCCCTCCCTCTTTTGCCCGGGCAGGGTCCGCGGGCGGTGTGGGCTCCCCTCCCCTCAACCCCCTCCAATGTTTCTTCTCCAAGAAGTTGTCTGTCGTTATTTGAAGGGGTAAGTTATGGTTTTATGGGGGATGAAGGGAATGCTATCCAATGCCCACTACATACATACATGAATATATTAAGAGATTTCGTATAGGCTGCATCAAGTCTCTCCTTTTTAAGTATCACCAGCACGTTTGATTTTGTATTTCACTATTAATTCACGTTTAAATATAACTCAATAAAGATGTATTAGGTATTTTAATTTAGTTCTCTCAGCCATGTGAGTCGTTCCCATTGTTGTGGGTATACCGTAGGAGACTGGTAGAGGAACAGTAACTTACCGTTTACCTCTTTCAGTCCTCTATGGTAATTTATTTTCTCATTTAATCAATTTAAGGTTTATGACCATCACTACCCACTAAGTCCTTTCTGTTATTGACTTTTGGGTAAATTTTCAGGTTTTTGTATGGTTTTGTTATTATGCTGCATCGCGATTCCCCATTACGAACATACATGTCAGAATGCAACATGCTCCAATGGTAGAGACAGCGTTACAATTCAGAGAGCTACAAAACAAGCTTTTTAAAAAATCGGTTTTAACAATATAGGATTGAGCATATACAAAACAGAGCCACATTTTCAGGCACAAAGCTATAAACTGCATGAATGTTGTGCTGGTGTCTGGGGTATTTCTTTTACTGAACGTTTGCAATTTATTTCTGGAACTTGCTGTTTCAGTCTTGTTAATGTGTAAAGTAATTGGTAACTTGGTATTGGCTGGTTCCACGCGGTATATGCTCCGTTTGTAGAGTAGGACTCGGATAGCACTGCTCCCCAATAAATCCCATTCTCTAATCATCCTACACTCTGCCCAGCGTTCCAGCTTGACGAAGAATCAGTATCATTGAATGCCAATATTATCAGTAGAAAGAGAATACATAATGCTGGGTATAAACTTGTGTCCCTAGTCTAGGATCAGTCGGTTCCCCTTACCCCTGCCACTAAGGGAAATGCTATGTTTGTGACAACATGCATGTAATAAAACACAGTGACATAAAGTCATGATATTGCATGCACAGGTGCTGTTTCCTGAGCAACAATATGTACTAAAACTGCAGCAAACGCAATGGACATATAGATGGCCCTTCGGCCAATAACTAGAAAAATATCCACTCAATGTAACGTGTGCAGGGGGTGGGGGGGATAATTTGTAACCACAATGGGATTTTCAGAGTATTAATGACATTAATGAACCCAAACTATGTTAATTTAACCTATAACCACATGTTCGGACTAGTTAAGAAGTCCGTGAATATTAAAGCAGGTTCCAAGTGGTCTAATTTGATAAACGCATTGTTCTATTAACATCACTCATTAGTGGCGTTATTATCGTAAAAATATAGATGAAAAAGTGAAGAAAAAGTGAATATAGAAGAAAAAGTGATTGTATTACAATCCCACATCAACGTTGAATGGTTTCCCAACTTAATACTTAAAGGGACACTATAGTCACCAGAACAACTACAGCTTAATGGGACACCTCCAAGTGGCCACTACCATTCAGGCCACGTAGAGATTGGACTTGCCTGTTGGTCAGGATATGGGGTGAGAAGTAGCGGTCACAAGTGAAGTAGCACCGCTGTCCGCAGCTTTTGCCTCTTGTGTCACTTCCTCTGCATTGACCACCTGGGAATGAGTGCGGAATACTCGTTTAGGCATCGTCGGCCCGCAGGACTGATCCGAGGGGCTTCATCTTGGACTGCTGAGGTAGGTACCTGCTACCTGCCCAGAAGGCCTCACAGATCCGATCAAACTTCAGGAGGATTGATGCCACATGTTAAGATGGCCTTGTACAGGAATTCCTAGTTGTAGGACCCAACAGGGCAGCCATCTTAGTGACCAGTCCTCGATTATCTGATTCAAATGCAGACTGGGATGCTTGTCCAGGAAACCCAGCAATAGTCCAGTGGGAACCGGGATATCCCCCACCCGTCTAGAGGGAGGGAACAGGGCCATAAGCACACAAGCCTCAATTCAAGGCTAAGGATCGGCCGCCTCCTCAGCCCCGAGCTTGGCCACAGGCCGCAAGTGGGTTTGTCGATGGTTGGGACCTCCAGGTGCAGCCTGAAACTGCCAGAAGGTCGGTAGGGTGCTCCCCAGGGGTATATGCAGGGATTAGACTAAAGAAAGAGGAATCATGGTCAGTTTGTAGCTGAATATGGAGATTGTCCAAGGAGCTCCATATGACCATCTTAGTTGGCTGTCAGGCCCCGTCCCCCATCTTTTATTTTTGAATCAAACTCCCTAAACAGAGATCTCTCCCAGGGCATTCAGTCATGAAATAATGTCATCAACTTGACAACCGATCCTGCAACTCATTTACTGTTTTCTGCAAAGACCAGGAAGTTCACTCAATCAATCCTAGGTCTCTGATTGGTTACTAGAGTACACTTTCCTTATTTATAAAAACTCTTTAGCCCCATGCACGAGACTGCTGGAGGTTATGGAAGTTGTAGTTCTGATGTCAGGTTTTCAGTGATAAGCTTCCAACCTGTAAATAGCTTTATTCATAAAAAAATAAATAAAGCTGTCTGTGGTATTACTGGTTGTGTGTTAGTTCATTCATGTTTATTTTCATGAATGAAGTTACTGTAGCTTTATATATACTCAGTGCTTATATGCCGTCACAGATAGCAATGATAAATTCGGTATATCTCAGGAAGAGTTTTAAAGATGGACAAAGACATTGAAGGCATGGGCCGCTGGGGTTTCTTAGCTTCACATTTTAACAAATATAACAGTGAATAATTAATTCAAATATTGTTATTTATAAACTCCAACATTATCTCTACAAGTAATTTGGAGACATGCTGGGGACCTGTAATTGTAGTATGGCTCTGTGCTTTTAGGAAATCCTGGGAATTGACATAAAGGCGGACATTTTTAATGCTTGCGATTTAAAGGATTCCGTCCAAGTGATAGAATTCTCCCTGAAAGATTACGTTTTCATAGAGCAAGTTCCTTGAAAATGGAACTCATGCGAGGAACATATTAAATGAAATTACCATTTTAAATATGCTTCTGTTTCACTAGTTTGTCCCCTCAGGGTCACGAAAAGTGTTATTAAAAGCTGCTTCCACCAAGGTCTAAAATTGGTTCGATTTCACAAGCAGTCTGTCAGGAAACACTTATTGCAAGAGACCTGTCTCTGTCTTTGAAACAGCGCCCCAGGGCGTTCCTTTATTTCAATTTCAAAGCCAACACAGGAGATAAAGGTGACAACAAAGTATCAAGGAAGTAATATATGTACAGATATAAATGTGTGTGTCTATATATATATATATATATATATATATATATCCCATTAATGTATGTGTGTGTGTCTATATCAATATATCTCATTAGTGTGTGTGTGTGTGTGTGTGTCTATATATAAATATATCTCATTAATGTGTGTGTGTGTGTGTGTGTGTGTGTGTGTCCATATCAATATATCTCATAAATGTGTGTGTGTGTGTGTGTCTATGTATAAATATATCTCATTAGTGTGTGTGTGTGTGTGTGTGTGTGTGTCCATATCAATATATCTCATAAATGTGTGTGTGTGTGTGTGTCTATGTATAAATATATATCCTATTAGTGTGTGTGTGTGTGTGTGTGTGTGTGTGTGTGTCTATATATAAATATATCTCATTATTAGTGTGTGTGTGTGTGTGTCTGTCTATATAAATATATCTCATTAATGTGTGTGTGTGTGTGTGTGTGTGTGTGTGTCTATATATAAATATATCCCATTAGTGTGTGTGTGTGTGTCTGTATATAAATATATCTCATTAGTGTGTGTGTGTGTGTGTGTGTGTGTGTGTCCATATCAATATATCTCATAAATGTGTGTGTGTGTGTGTGTCTATGTATAAATATATCCTATTAGTGTGTGTGTGTGTGTGTGTGTGTGTCTATATATAAATATATCCATTAATGTGTGTGTGTGTGTGTGTCGTTCTATATAAATATATCTCATTAATGTGTGTGTGTGTGTGTGTGTGTGTGTTCTATATATAAATATATCCCATTAGTGTGTGTGTGTGTGTGTGTGTGTGTGTGTGTGTGTGTCTGTATATAAATATATCTCATTAATGTGTGTGTGTGTGTGTGTGTGTGTCTATATATAAATATATATTATAAATGTGTGTGTCTGTCTGTCTGTCTGTCTATATATAAATATATCCCATTAGAGTGTGTGTGTGTGTGTCTATATCAATATATCTCATCCATGTGTGTGTGTGTGTGTGTGTGTGTCTATGTATAAATATATCTCATTAGTGTGTGTGGGTGTGTGTGTGTCTATATATAAATATATCTCATTAATGTGTGATGTGTGTGTGTGTGTGTGTGTGTCTATATATAAATATATCTCATTAATGTGTGTGTGTGTGTGTGTCTATATATAAATATATCTTATAAATGTGTGTGTGTGTGTGTGTATAAATATATCCCATTAATGTATGTGTGTCTATATATAAATATATCCTATTAGTGTGTGTGTGTGTCTATATCAATATATCTCATTAATGTGTGATGTGTGTGTGTGTGTGTGTGTGTGTCTATATATAAATATATCTCATTAATGTGTATGTGTGTGTGTGTGTCTATATATAAATATATCTTATAAATGTGTGTGTGTGTGTCTATATCAATATATCTCATTCATGTGTGTGTGTCTATATATATATAT